GGACCCACCTGAGCGTTGGACCCAGCTGAGCCCCCAGGACCCAGCTGAGCACCGGGACCCAGCTGAGCGCCCGGGACCCACCTGAGTGTCTGGAATCCGCTGGTGCGACCTGGCGTCAGGCTGAGCTGCTGAGGGCCTAGGCGGGAGACGCTACCTGCGGGGGGTGGGGGGGCGGCAGGGGGACGGGTGAACACAGCGCTGCTTCAGGAAGAAGACACACCTACTGTCCCACCCATGCCCCCCACTGCGCCCAGCACACCCCTTCCCACTCAGCCGTCACCCCCCTGTGCACCGCGAGCATTCCCACCACCACCCTGAGCAGCCGCGTGCAGGCCACAGGCCTGGTCGGGACGGGCTGTGGGCTGCGGGCTGGCCTCCGCCTGCGACGCCGGGGCCCGAGGCGCCCAGCACTCGCCCCCACACTCCACTCCTGTCACTGCTCCCAGAAGCTCTGGGCTCTGAGGAGAGGGTGGGTCAGCGGAGCCGACCAGGCCGAGGTGCCATCTTCCCCGAGCCCGCATGTCTAGGCTGATGAGAAACATTTTGGATGCAAAGGCTCGCTGTGTGTTTAGTGAGACCAGAGGGCACGCGTGGAAGTGCTGGTAAACACTGAGCTCCTGGCAGCCCTGCTGTGGAGAACGGTCACGGACAAAAGGCAGAGTGAGAGGGGAAGAGAGTGGGCAGGGGAGGCTCCCTGTGTCCTTTCACAACTGCAGAGCCTGGATCAGAGAGGGTGAGCGCCGTTCCCGAGGTGGCACAGCACTAAGTGGCCTGGGCTGCGTGGACCGTAGGGGATGCTGCTCTAGTGACTTGCAGACCCAGCAGAACAGCTGAGAACCAGCGAAGCAAACCGTCCCAGGAGGTTCTGTTAATCCCGTTTTTATTTTCTGTATTTTCAGATGGTTGGACTCCCCGGGGCCTTGCGAATCCCAGACACACTGCCCCTCACTGGGCAGGCTAAATCGCATGGGTCAGAGGTTTGCCTGTGCTCTGGCCACCTCCTCCATCTGGCACCCCCCCCCCCCCCTCTGCCCTAATCCCTGAGGCGGGGCTGACCCGAGGGGTAGCCCCTGCACCCCCCACACTGCCTGCCCGCTGGCCCGCGTGGGGGTCGTCTCCTGATCTGCCGGCCTCCCTAGCCGACTGCACAAATCCCGGTTTCACGCTCAGGCAGAACCGCACATGCTCAGTAATGGGGTCCGGCAAGCACCTCTTATTCACGCTCACAGGGATCTGTGGGGTGACCGTGGTCAACAGCGATGAGGTACTCGAGGCCTCGACAGGTCAACAACTGTCTGGGTCCCGAGAGCAGTGCTCTGAGGCCAGGTGGGCCCAGGCCCTCTGGTTGCCCTGACGTCGGGCTCTCCATCGGGGCTCTGCGGGTTCAGGCTGAGCCATGGGCGCAGGGTCTGCTGGGGCGCACGGAGGCGGAACCTCTCGAGCAGGGCGCCTTGGGACCTCAGCCCAGCAGAGACGGGCCAGAGTGCTGCCGCCCCAGGGCCCCCGAGCCTCGGGCTGAGGTTTCCACACAGGAAGCTGCCTTGAAACACCTGGCATCTAGGGAGGGTCAGCACCGGGAGCGTGGGAGCCTCGTCTCCCTGCGCCACCAGGCGAGGCTGAGTCCCGGCTGAGCAGGCGCCCGGGATGCTGTGAAGCGGGGGGAGGGGAGACGGCTGAAGGCGGGCACATCCCTCAAGGTCCGGGTGAGGGAGGGACTCACCCATGCGTCCGTCCTGGGGAGGGCTGATCAGGGAGACTCTGGTGGGGCCGGCTGGCTCGGGCTGAGGACGGGAAAGGGAACAGTGGGTAACATCACTGTTTTCATGGGTAATGAGAGCCCCTCCGCCCCGAGAACACAGCCCCTCGCCAGCCGGCCGTGCCCGCCGTGCCAGTCTGCTGGGATGTAGCCCCGGGAGACAGGGTGTCCCACTCGCCCCCACCGTGCCTCTGGCCCCCACACCAGTGAGTGGACAAGGAATTTGCTAGGTGCTTCTAAGAATTTTGGAACAGAGAAAAAGCAGACGGTTTTAGCTGACATTAGCCATTTTAAAATCCTGAGTAAATCCTCATTTTCGGTGCAAAACCGTCACCTGGAAACCCAGGTGTTGATGACAGGGCCTGGTACTGCCCTGGCAGGGCCCGAATGCTGGGCCGGCTCCCAGCCAGGCACACGCCAGCGTCACCCATGTTTCTCTCACGGTGAAGCTGACCCACCTCCTCACCAACAGGTTGTCGGGATCCTGGATTCACTCATCCCCGTTCCCACCACTTGCCCAGGTGGAGGCGGAGCATGGCGGCAGCCCACCACATGTCCCATGCCAGCGTGGCCCTGCCTCCTGCAGCGGCACGGTCAGGAAGGAGCGGCCACGGTCGGGACTGAATGGCCACGGTCGGGAAGGAGTGGCCACGGTCGGGAAGGAGCGGCCATGGTCGTTAGCGCTGAGAAGCAGGAGGCCCTGAACATGCAGGAAACACGACACACAGGGGAACAGACTACTCACCCTTCTCAGGGGGGAGGGCGTGAGGTCGACCTCCATGGGCTCCACTCTGTAAACCGACAGCCAGACAGTTACTGGCCTGAGATTTGGAGCGACTGACACACGCACGATGTGCCAGGACGCCCGTCTCCATCCTCCTTGTTCACACTGGGCCCCATCAGTCACCTCCCTCTTAGCTCTTTACTGGCTGCCACTTGTCTGTCAGACCAAACCCAGCCCCACACGGAGGGAGGGCCTGCCGAGCTCTGGGGAGGCCCTGTGTGGCCGGCCTAGGGCATCTCAAGTGCAGGTGGCCTCCTCCGGCTGTGTCTCTGCTCAGGGACAGGGACAGGCAGTGCGGGCGGACGCTGCCAGGTCCTGCCAGTCGCCCTGGAGTTGCAGCATCTCATTTGCTTTAGGTGCCGCTCACTGCTGGGCTCACTGCACACAATCAGTGCTTGTAGGGCCAGCTCCTTAACTTACTGCTCCAGGCTGACCGAGAAGCACCACTTGGGCTTCCCCACAGGAGGAAAGGGCAGGGAGGGAGGGAGGGGGAGAGGGAGGGAGGGAGGGAAGGAGGGAGGAAGGGAGGGAGGGGGAGAGGGAGGGAGGGAGGGAAGGAGGGAGGGAAGGAGGGAGGAAGGGAGGGAGGGGGAAAGGGAGAGAGGGAGGGGGAAAGGGAAGGAGGGAGGGGGAAAGGGAGAGAGGGAGGGGGAAAGGGAAGGAGGGAGGGGGAAAGGGAAGGAGGGAGGGAGAGAAGGAGGGAACCAATCGCTGAGTCACTTTCTGGCTGCGCGCTCAGTGCCAGGCCCGCTGCCCTTGGGACACAGGGACAGGCAGTGCGGGCGGACGCTGCCAGGGCCTCCAGTGCTGCGTGTGGACCCAGCTCCCAGCATTTCAAGGAAAAATAGGTGGAGGAGGGATGCTCTCCAGGAACCGGCCACCAGGGGTGGGTAGGGTCCCCAAGGGGTCACCACCTCTCGTCCTGTCCCCTGTGCCAGATTTGTTTCTGAGCTGCCCTGGGAGAGAGTCCCACCCGAGTCACATGACCACTCCTCCACCAGCCACCAGGCCACAGGGACAGGACTGGGATGGGCCAGCCCCCAGGCCCTGGCGATGAGTAAGAGCTGCTGTGGGGTGAGCTCCTGGGGCCTGTGCTGAGCATCAGAACGTGGGAACCTGGAGGGGTGGAGGGTGGCAGGAGGGGCGTGGGTGGCAAAGAAGGACCTGCAGCTCCTGAGTGTGGCCCACTGGCCCCGCTCCCCCAGCCCTGCACACACACCTCTCGGAGGAGGCGGAGGAGCCGGGAGGCCGGAGCAGCTGTCCGCGGGGCTCTGCTGAAGGAGCTGTGACAAACACCACAGGGTGAGGGCGCGCCTGCCCTCGGCTCTGCCTGCCCTGGGCTCTGCCCCGGCACGTCCTCGGCTCGCCGCGCAGCAGGCCACCACTTACTTGAAACTGGACTTCTCAGCGCGCTGAAGGCTGTGTGTTGGGACGGTCTCATACTAAACAGATGGGGAGAGGGATTGATAAACCATAAGAACTTATTTCCAACCACAGGGCAGGGCTGAGACCCCCTCGGTCCCTCACCAGCGCCTCGCCCGCCCAGCGCTCACTTTCATCCCAGAGGCCCTGAGACTGGCACACAGCGGCAGGGCTGGGCCCATCAGCGCCTCTGCAGCACTTCCCGCTTCCCAACGACCCTACAACTGGGCACGGGGGAGGCTGTCTCTCCAGACCACGTGGGACAGAAAGCAGGGCAGGGATCCCTGACGCCAGGATGCCTGCGAGGGAGCGTGGACATGGGTGAGGGAGCCGGCCGGCAGGGTGTGTGGGCCCACCCTGCGGGAAAACCAGGCCACACTGGCGTGCACCGACCGCATCACCTGGAGGACCTGCACGAGCGCGAGCCGAGGAGGAGGCAGGCCTGGCCTCTCGAGGGTTTCAGGGCAGGAAATAGACTGCCCGGTCACGGTGACAGAATGTTCTAGACCAGCGGTTCTCAACCTGTGGGTCTCGACCCCTTTGGGGGTTGAACGACCCTTTCACAGGGGTCGCCTAAGACCATCAGAAAACACATAAATAGCCGAAACCGGTTTGGCTCAGTGGATAGAGCATCGGCCTGCGGACTGAAGGGTCCCAGGTTCGATTCCGGTCAAGGGCATGTACCTGGGTTGCGGGCACATCCCCAGTAGGAGATGTGCAGGAGGCAGCTGATCGATGTTTCTCTCTCATCGATGTTTCTAACTCTCTCTCTCTCTCTCTTCCTCTCTGTAAAAAATCAATAAAATATATTTAAAAAAAAAAAAAGAAAACACAATAATTACATAGTGCTTTTGTGATTAATCACTATGCTTTAATTATGTTCAATTTGTAACAATGAAAATACATCCTGCATATCAGATATTTACATTACAATTCATAACAGTAGCAACATTACAGTTATGAAGTAGCAACGAAAATAATTTTATGGTTGGGGGTCACCACAACATGATGAGCCGTATTAAAGGGTCTCGGCATGAGGAAGGTTGAGAACCACTGTTCTAGACGGCTGAACCGAGCAGTGAAATAAGCTCGAGGGAGAGGTGGGAGCAGAAGGACTGGAGCCTGAAGGACGCTCGTAGGCGGCAGGGAGCCTTGCGAGGAGGGCCAGCCTGCGGGGGCCTCAGAGGGCCACAGCTGGAACTTTCCAGAATGATGAGATGATTGACAGAGAGAAAGCAGGTTATACGAAGGGTGACGAATAGAAGGGCCCCCTGCACCCAGGTCTCACTCGGAGCCGCGCCCCAGGGGCCTGTCAGGCTCAGGCCACAGAGCCTCCCGTGCTGCTGCCCACAGGCCTCTGGCAGCATCTCTGTCCCAGCGAGGGCTGGGGTGCGCCCTCAGAAAGCAGCCTGTGATGGCGGCGGGTGGGCCGAGGCCGAGCGGGACCAGCGTGCCCAGCTCCTGCTGCAGCCCAGCCACAGTGCACCGGGCACCTGCACACACAGCCGGCTGGACAGCAGCCCCTCAGGACCTCGGCGCCATGGCCTTCACATGAACGTGTCTCACCACACTGGGCTTCTGAGTATTCAGCCGCGTCCCACAGCACCGCCTTCCCTGACCGCGTGGACCATGCAGGGACGGCAGCCTGTGCTCATCTTCCATGACCGCCATTCCTGGGAAAAGGCCCAGGCTGCGGCCGCCCCGGAGGTGGAGGGGCTGCCCCTCTCCAGCTGGGTCGCTGGCTCTGCTCCCCAGCCCCTCCCGTGGCCTGGGAGTCACAGGACAGGACGCCCCCTGGGAAACCACTCCTCTTTGCTGTGTCTTCTCCTCTCCCCTCCTTCCCCAGACGGCCCAGCGCACCTCTGCCCTGACAGCTTCTGGGAAATAGGGCCCCTTGTTAGGGCCGCGGCCTGAGAGGCAGCGAGCGGACGCCTGGCTGGGCTCAGGGGTGCGGGGTGCAGTGGGGGGGGGCGTGGTGCAGACCTACCTTTGCAGCTGCTCCACCCGCAGCATCGCCTTCCTGAGGGACTCCTCCAGCCTGGCGATCTGCACACAACACGGCGACTCGGTTACCAGGCTGACGCCAAGTGACAGTGCACAGACACGCGGACCCTCCATTCTTACACCGAGGCAGCACATGAGTCAGGAGGGAGCTGCCTGGGCCGGGGCAGCGTGCAGGGCAGACGGGGCTGTGGCCAGGTGCGGACACTACCCACAGGGGCCGGGGCTGGGTGGCGACACGTCCCCTCTGGGCAGACCCACCGCAGGCCTGGCCTGGGGCATGTAAGGAGGGCAGACGGCAGGAGACACCAAGCACGCGCGGGCCAGGCCTCAGGGCAGCGACGCCTCACACCTTCCCTGTCGCACACAGAGAGGTCACGGCCACAGGATGGACACCAGGCAGCTTCCACACTCCAGGGGGTGGCCACAGGGTCTGTGGCTTCAAAGCCAGGCCCTCACCCTACTTACTCCCTAACCTTCGATGGTGTTTTTTTAAAAACATGACGGGATGAATGAATAGAGAACTGTCTAAGCTGCTCTGAGGCCCAGACATCACTCCCGGCCAGGTGAGGCGGCGGCCAGGTGAGGCGGCGGCCATGGGTGTGTGCCGTGGCGCGGCCCCAGCACAGGAAGCTGACCTGGCCCCTTCGCCCTCTGCCGGCTGCTGCGTGCTCTCCTCTCTGCGCCTCCCGTCCCTGTCCCTCCGGGAGGCCTGACCCGAGCCAGCCCAAGCTGCCCCCATGGAGCTTCCTCCCCTGGAGCTTCCCTTGCTCACTCAGCTCAGCTCACCGATCAGGGAGGAGGATGCTTGTCGCTCCCGTGGAAGGACCAGTCAGAGCTCACTAGAGTCGGTTTATGAAAAGTGCCCGGTGAGTGGGGGGCACCACAGGCCAGAAGTGGGCCCCGAGATGAAACTGGCCCAGTGACTTCTGGCCCTGAGCATCGCGGTGGCGGACAGGAGCCGTGCAATGGGCTGAGGGTCCACGGGACGGATGCCCACCTCCCGGCCCTCCACCCTGAGATGTGGGGTCGGGTCACAGGGTCACATGAAGTTGAGATGGGGTTTACCTTTTCTCTGTAGAAGGCTAACAGCCTCTTTCTGTGTTTTTCTTGAAATTCTGAAATCTGGGAAGATGGCACAGGTCAGCTGCTGCAGTGGCACATGGCCACACTGTGCATTCCCCAGACACACCCTGCTGCCTGCCTGACCCGGGGCTGCCTTGGTCACCCCGCCGTGCACGCAGAACGCAGCGGGCACGCTCACACAGGGGAGCATGCCCCACTGAGGGCAGGAACACACAGGGCACTGTCTCTCTCTAGACACCCCCCTACACCCCCCCCCCCCCGCCCCTGTGACTTGTGCGTGGAGAGGGCTAGGTGGGCAGGACAAGCCGCGCTCCCGGGAGCTGGGTTCCCAGCAGCACTTCTGTTCAGGAGCCCCCTTGCACGCGGAGTGCACGCGGTCTGGAGTTGGCCCCCAGAGCTCCGAGCCGCACTGACCCAGGGAGGGAAGCACTGCTTCACGTCAGGGACGGTATCAGACAGAACGAGAAAGCCCCTCCGGCTCCTGCACCTCGAGGGTGGAGCGGGTTGATGGATGCAGGGCAGGTCCCAGGCTCACCTTAAAGTTACTGAGGACCCCTAAAAGCTCTGCTTATGCAGGTTTTCCCTGGCGCTGTTTCCCCACTAGAAATTAATACTGAGAGAAACTTAAAGTATTTATTATGGTAAAATAACGGTAAGCCCAACATGCTGAGGTAGACAGCGAGCTAGGCACTGGGACAGGCGATGCCCAGAGGCCTGGAGGGAGGCCACTCGGCAGCCAGCTGCCTCCATGCCTCTCTCCACCTGGGCGGGGCGTGGGGCCTGAGATGGAGGACAGGCACCCTGCCTCCTCCTGAGGCCGCCCGAGGCTCTGCGGGTCCCAGCACAACTGCTCTCGGCTCAGGGCCGCCTGTGGGTCTGAGCGCTATGGTGAGGACTCCCCCAGTTCACCAACACGGCAGCTTCCGGGTCCCGGGGACCTGGCCCAAGAGGCCCCCTGGGAATGTGCAATGAAATCAGCCCATGTCCCTGCTTGGCTGTTGCCTTGTGCCCATGCCGTGTCCTGGGGCATCCAGGCCCCCGGGAGCCTGCAGGGTGGAGGGGCACAGCCCTGACACCGCGGGCACTGAGCCCGAGAGCAGCCCCCAGAGCAGGGCCGTCCTGGTGGCTGACATGTCTCCAAGAGAACAAGCCAACGGCCGAGAAGGGCCAGGCCAGAGTGTGGTCGCTCAGCCTGCTGCTAGGCCTCTTCGGGGAGGGGCAGGTGGGAGGTGCCAACAGCAGGGGTGGGGGCAGCACTGTTATCAGAAGGGGGGGCCGGATGGGCTGGCAGAGAGGGCTGCTCTCCGGACAGCTCCCTGGACAGCCTGGTGGACCAGGAGGTCAGACGGGCATCGGACCCAGGGAGGGCACCGACTCGCAACCTCAGAGCTGGGCTGGGGAGTGCGCCTGGAGCCACAGCCACAGCCACATGACCCAGACGCCTGAGATCAGCCGGGCGTCCCGACCACAGGACACGTCCCCCCACAGCAGCAGGACAGGAACCCGGAGCAGGGAAGACGGCACAGTGCAGGGAAGACGGCACAGGGGCGGGGAGCACCCCCACCCCCGAGACCCTGGGGTCTGCTCTCCAGGGCGAGATCATCGGCCCTGGGTCGTCACGAAACAGGTTCCCATGGCGACAGGCTCGCGTGCCCCAGGAGAAGGCCCACGCACCTGGGAGGTCTCCTTGGAGTACTTCCTGCACAGGCCGTCTATGCCCATGAAGAGCGCCTGGACCCCTGGGTCCGTCTGGAAGAGAAAGACACCATCTCCGCTCGCTGCCCTGGCACACGCTCAGGGCGTGATGCAGAGGCAAACGAGACCCAGATGAACCTCGGGACCCGCAGGACCAGCGCTTCCCTCGGTGTCGCCAGCAGGCACAGGGGCACCCACCTCCTGGCTGCCCGGGGCTGTGGGGTGAGGGCAGTGTGCCTGGCAGCTGGTGGCACCCTCTGGGCCACAGGCCCCTCTCTGTCAGGAGGAACCCAGGCCTCGAAGGTAAAGGGCCAAAGGGGAAGCCGAGCTCAGAGGAAACACTACGTCAGGGAGGGAGTGCTGATGAGCCTCCTATCAGTCAGTCCTTTAAGAAGCAAACATGAAGAACTCAAGGAAAAGTGGGTTCAGAAGTGGTGCTGCCCACTCCACAGAGTCATGCCTGCCTCCTCCTCCCCTCCTCCTCCCTGGCACCCACAGCCCTGGTACCCACAGCCCAGCACCCACAGCCCTGGCACCCACAGCCTGGCACCCACAGCGGGCCGACAGTGACAGCCATCCGAGGGCATAGGCGTGGGAGGACGCCCTCAGCAGGGACAGGCGGGGACAAACACAGCCATCGGGTAAGGACAGCAGACCCAAAAGATACAGGCGAGCAGTCCCTCTGCAGCCTGGTCCTGGCTTCGGAACCGTCAGCATGGCACGGGCATCAGAACGGAATCTGAGTCCCTCCACTGCCGCTCCCTGTGCTCCCCAGGTCCCACCGAAACGAGGTAAAACTAAGTGCAGGGCGACACCTGATGGGCGGCAGAAGCTAGAAGATGTCCTTGGGAGGCAGTGCCTGGCCCGAGCCGCGCCAGGCCTTGGAGGGAGAGGCCACACAGGGTGTCTGGACAGCTGGGTCCCTGGACTCGACCCCTGCAAGTCACAGGCAGGTGGGCCACAGGCGGGGCAGGGGCTCCAGGTGCCCACAAGCCCTGCTCGGCACCAACTCAACCTGCCACCCTGGCCTCGCCCCACACCTCAGGGCCTGGTCCCGGGCCACAGAAGCAGAAGCATGCCTTCCCACAGCCTGGCACCCACAGCTCTGGCACCCACAGCCACAGGAAATGGGGAGCGCCCAACAGAGCGTGGTGGCCTGTGCTCAGGAGTGGAGAGCAAGTGACACACAGGTTATCACACAGGGAAAACACCTGTGGACAGAACCCGTGTGGACAGGCAGGTGTGGCTTCACTCTACGTGGACAGGACCTGCGTGGACAGGCAGGTGTGGCTTCACTCTATGTGAATAGGACCTGCGTGGACAGGCAGGTGTGGCTTTACTCTACGTGGACAGGACCCGTGTGGACAGGCAGGTGTGGCTTTACTTTACGTGGACAGGACCCGTGTGGACAGGCAGGTGTAGCTTCACTGTGTGGACAGGGACCCGCGTGGACAGGCAGGTGTAGCTTCACTGTGTGGACAGGGACCCACGTGGGCAGGCAGGTGTGGCTTCACTCTATGTGGACAGGGACCCACGTGGGCAGGCAGGTGTGGCTTCACTGTGTGGACAGGGACCCGCGTGGACAGGCAGGTGTGGCTTCACTCTATGTGAACAGGACCTGCGTGGACAGGCAGGTGTGGCTTCACTCTATGTGAATAGGACCTGCGTGGACAGGCAGGTGTGGCTTCACTCTACGTGAACAGGACCTGCGTGGACAGGCAGGTGTGGCTTTACTTTACGTGGACAGGACCCGTGTGGACAGGCAGGTGTGGCTTTACTCTACGTGGACAGGGACCCGCGTGGACAGGCAGGTGTAGCTTCACTGTGTGGACAGGGACCCATGTGGACAGGCAGGTGTGGCTTCACTGTGTGGACAGGGACCCATGTGGACAGGCAGGTGTGGCTTCACTGTGTGGACAGGGACCCACGTGGGCAGGCAGGTGTGGCTTCACTCTATGTGGACAGGGACCCACGTGGGCAGGCAGGTGTGGCTTCACTCTATGTGGACAGGGACCCACGTGGGCAGGCAGGTGTGGCTTCACTGTGTGGACAGGGACCTGCATGGACAGGCAGGTGTGGCTTCACACCATGTGGACAGGGACCCACGTGGACAGGCAGCTGTGGCTTTACTCTACGTGGACAGGGACCCACGTGGACAGGCAGGTGTGGCTTCCCTGTGTGGACAGGAGCCTTAGTGGGACCGGGTGTAGGGAGCAGAGGCTGAGGCCTCCACTCTGATAACAGCCCCTGCACAGGCTTTGGGGTCTCCCTGAAGCTCAGCCGATACCACAGGACAGCCAGACCGTGAAAAGCCACAGCGAACGGAGCCATGTGATCCAAGACACAGGAAGCATTCATGTCCAGGAAAGCAGCCTAACGAGCGCAATATGCATCACAATGCAGGCAGCTCAGTCCCTCTGGAGAGCTGTCACCACAGGCCTCAATGCAGGACCCGACAAAGGAATTCCCGGGGGTGGAAAGTGACCCTCGGGGCGTCAGGGAGGCTGGGAACCTGAGCGGGAGGAAGTGGGACTGTGGGAACCTGGGTGGCGGTGGCGATCTGGGCAGCGATGTCTGTGGGCTTACGTCTCTGGGAGAGAATAAGGTGCACGCGGAAGCGAAGCGTCCAGGCCCTGCCCAGGGAGGATGGGAGCCTGTCCGACTTTAAGGACAACTGCACAGGGTGTCCCCGACCAGTGCGAGTCACTCTCAGATCGCGCAGAATTCGCTGAGCTACGCACTTTTAATTTGTGCACTTTTGGCATTATACGTCAATGGAAGTTAGTAGAAATAACTAAAATCCCCAAATATTTCTAAATTAACCACATACACATGGGTCGCAGGAATAATTGAGAAGAGACTTGAATTGTTCTGCTCAGGCAAGGATGAGCACAGAGGGGGGTGCGGCCTGGGATGTAAACAGGAGGAAGACAAGGTGGGGAGCTGACCTGAGCTTCCATCTTAAAGAGCAAACGAAAGCAAAGAGGAAAGAGGAGAACTCACCAGAGAACAGGTGTACAATAAAGAAACACAGCCAAGAATTAGTTCTTTGAAAATACGAATAAAGGTCAATAAACACTGACAAGACTGTTCAAGAAAAGGAGAGAAGGCACAGTAACCACCATTAAAGTGAAGGACGCGCATCACCACAGGCCTTCCGGATGCTGAGAGCACCGAGGACTGCACACGTGTTGGTGACAGGACACCCAACCTCGAGGAAAGGGCACCCCCTCCTGTGAATACAGCTCCCTTAGGTTGACCTGACGGAGGCAGGCGCTGAGTGTCTAACACAGAAACTAAGTCCCTGGTTGAAACCTCCTCACCAAATCCCTTCCAGGTTCAGACAACTTCACCTGTGAATCCCACCACATTTTACGAGAGGAGAGGATGGGAGGCCCCAGCTGCTTTCACACCTCCCCTCCCCCCGATGCACCGAGGCCTGAGAAGGGCCCGGGACAGAGAGGACCACACGCAGCTCCCACGTGGACACAGGTGCACGGCGTCTAGCTCATCTAGACACACGCACTAGGCTGCCTCGCACCAGGTCGGATCTGTTCCTGGGAGCTAGTGTGGGTTTAAAGCTCTAAAAATAAATGCAACTCACCACATTGACAAAATAAAGTAGAAAAAACAATGATAAGCTCAACAGTGACAGAAAAGCCATTGGGTAAAGTTCAACACCGTTCATGATAAAAAGCCGTAGCAAAAAACCCACACCGCACATAGTACTTCACGGAAACACTGCCACGTCCCTGAAATCAGGGGAGACAAACCCCCATGAGAGATGGCCCCTGCCATCCGTACTCCACACGGTACGGAGTGCAGGCCGAGGCAGGGGAGAGAAACACAGAAGGCACGAAACAAACAGAGACGGTGCGACTGTGGAGCCTGGAAAAACCCACAGCTGAGTTACCAGGTGAACTTAGCAAGGCCAGAGGTGTAAGTTCATAGACAAGAATCCATCATGTTTGACTGGTGTGCTCAGTGGTTGAGCATTAACACAAGAACCAGGAGGTCACTAGTTCGAGCCCCCGATTCCCCGTCAGGGCACATGCCTGGGTTTCGGGCTCAGTCCCCAGAAGGGGGCGTGTAGGAGGCAGCCAATCGATGTTTCTCTCCCATTTATGTTTCTCTCTATCTCTCTCCCTTCCTCTCTCTCTCTCTCTCTAAAAAAAAAAAAAAAAGAAAATCAATAAAAACATTTAAAAGGCTACGCAGTCACCTTTAAAGAGTGTGGGAGTGCCCAAAATATGTCACTTGAGAAAACACCATTTCTGTAAGAATAAATCCGAGTAGCACCCACAGACCGGGCGCTCCACTCCTGGCTGCTGTCTTTGGGCAACAGTATCTGGGGGCTTCCACCTCCTCCACTATGATCTTTTGTATCATTTGCATAATATGTAACTTTGTTTTACATTTGTAATCAGAAAAAAAGCAATTGTTATAGATTAAAACATCAGATCAAATACACATCTTGGAGCCTAGGTGTAAAGAGGACAATTATTTGTAACTAAATTTAAAGCAAACAAGTTAAATTCATGTATTTTACAAAGAGAACAAAAGGCATTATTTTAAGCCTACTGCAACAGCAATTTAATACCTGCTTTCCTCCAATCCTCTTAACTAGATATGACAGCTGTGAAAAACCAAACTTTACCACCTTCTTTTTGTTGTTGTTACTCCTCACCCGAGGTACTTTTTCTATTGATTTTTAGAGAGAGCAGAAGGGGGGTGGGGGAGAGACACCTTGATGTGAGAGAGATCGATTGGTCGGCACATGTCCCGACCGGGGCCAGGAATCGAACCTGCAACCCAGATATGTACCCTTGACTGGGACTTGAACCCACAACCCTCTGGTGCGTGGGCTGACACTCTAAGCCAGTGGTTCTCAACCTTGGCTGCATATTAGAATCACCTGGGAATCTTTTTGAAATCCTGATTTCTGGGCCTCGTCCTCCGGAAGTTCTGTTTCTCTGTTATGGGGTGGGGCCACAACATGAGTAACAAAGAAACAGAATTTCCGGAGGATGAGGCCCAGAAATCAGGATTTCAAAGAGTCCCAGGTGACTCTAATGTGCAGCCAAGGTTGAGAACCACTGCTCTAAGCACTGAGCACAGCGGCCGGGCTCCGTCGCCGTGAGGAGCTTGCATTGCACTGAAGGAATCTATTCCACACATTTTCATTCCCAGGAGCATCGCACGGCAAACCGCAGACAGGCCCCCCTGCAACCGAGAAGCTGCAGGGAGGGTCCCGGCCGGATCCTAGTTGTCCTTCAGATTCCGGGAGACCTTCCCGGTCACCTGACAACATGAACGGAAAGCTCAGACCCCACAAACGACCACAGATTGAACCTCACCTGTAAAGGGAACACGGTGATCAATATTCAGACACGGACCACAGATTTCCACTTACGTGTTTTGAGAGGAAGACCGTCTGGCAGGGAGCTTTACAGATCAGGCACTCGCCCTCCTTACCTGCGAGAGAAGAGCAAATGCTGTGTTATCGGGGCGACGGGGCGAGCACAGCTTTCGGGGTAACGCTGCTCCGAGCACACGGCCCGCCCTCCATTTCCTCACCTTCACACCGTGGGGCTGAAAGGATTTCTACAACCAACTGTCCTCCTCTTTCCCGTTTCCCACAGGCGCCCCCAAACAGCGCCCCTAAAGGGACCCACTGCTCCCCCGGCCTCTGCCCCAGGTCCGGCGCCTCCAGCGCCCACTCCCCGCTCCGACCGGGAGCCCAGCCCTTTCCCTGCACAGCGGCCGGAGCGCGGGTCCCCGCATCGGGGTCCTGGGGTCCCGGCCCCGCTCTTCCCTCCCAACCCCCCGCTTCGCTTCCTCGGGGGGAGCCCGCACCCCAAGCCCCTGTGTGGGAGTCCCATACTCTCCCTGGATGCCCCCCATTACAACAGCAGGGTTGCTACGCACTGTGTCTAAAGCCACCACCCCGTTTATACAAACTCCTGCGAATTCCAACAAATTGAGCCCAGGCACGGCACAATTCTTTTCTTTCCTAGGGGGCGACGAGTATCCTCTGTTACAGACCTATGTGAACTTCACGTTCCTCTGACAGGATCGAAAAGGGAACTGAGGACATGAAGGCCAACTAAACAGATACCGGGGGTTT